AGTGAGCAGGGCCCAGAGTGAGCAGGGCGTAGAGTGAGCAGGGCGTACAGTGAGCAGGGCGTACAGTGAGCAGGGCCCAGAGTGAGCAGGGCGTAGAGTGAGTAGAATCCTCGGGTGTGCAGAGACCTAGAGGATGCAGTGCCTAGAGCACAGAGTGCCTAGGAGACCCAGGGTCCAGCTGCCTCCCCAGGAGAGTGCTGGCCCAGGAGGGTCCTGCTCGAGCTCACGGCATTGCAAGTCACAGCCCAGACAGGAAACTCTAAGTTTTCCCAACATACACTTTACACTAACACTGCCAGGAAACGTTGGCACCGGACAACCAGGTCTGTAGGCGCAGGTGACGCAGCCCAGCCTTCCACCCAGGCGGGAAGGGCCCTGCAATGCATAAGCCACAGGGAGGGGGGGCTGCGCCCCAGCTGCACACCTGCTCCCCACTGCAGCAGAGGGTGTGCCCATTCCATGGAGTGAGCCCTGGGCTGTGTGTCACGCTTGGCCATGAGCACGCACTGTTCACAAGGACAACTGGGGGTCAACGGAGCCCAGGACCCATGGAGGGACGGCACGCTGCCATCTGGTGTCCTGGGGACAGAGGCCCAGGGCTGAGTGGCAGAGCACACACAGGAAGGCAGGAGTGGCGGCTGACAGGCACGGCCACCTGGCCAAGTCGAGGCACAGCAGGACACAAAGCCCAGGGCCTGGCCCTCGACAGCCTGGCGAAGACCAGGAATGACTACCCCCCTCGTCCCACAGTGAGGCCCCGCACAAGGCAGTGGCTGGGACGTGCACACAGGTGACGCCAGCACCCACCCGCTCTGGGCTCTGGGGAAGCTCCAGAGCCCAGCTGTGACCAGCAGGCCAGCCGCCGGAGCCTCCTGTGTCCCTCCAGGAGGCGCTCCTCTCTGGGCTCCACGGGCCACGGAGCCGTGAGCTGGGTCTGTCTGGGCCAAAGAGTGGAGTCTCAGAGAGTGGCGGGCAGCCAAGGCCTCCCCGGGCCCCCAGGCCGACTGCTGGGAGCTCTCTGCCAGGGCTGCTCCGGCATTGGCTGACTCGGGCCCAGAAGACTGCTCGCCCGCAGAGCCTCGTCCACTCCTTAGGCCCTCTGCACCCACACCTGCTATTTCAGCTGACCACTCCGCAGCCACCACCTTCCTCACGCACATGCGTCTCCCACAGCCGTGTTTCTGGAGAACCCAGTGGCCCAGGTGTCAGCAGGGCCCCCAGGGTCCCCTCAAGTGGCCAGCTTCAGACATCTGGGCCTGGCCAGAGGACAGCAGGCGGGCGGGCCCCGCCAAGGACGGTGCTGGCCACCACGGAGAGGACAAGTGGTCTGCAGCCCTAGGCCTTCCCACAGCTCCTCAGCTTCAGAACCCTGGAAGAGAGTCAGCACAGCGCCTGGCGGACACGCGGCCCAGACCCCACGCTCACCCCACTTCCGTTTCCCTACCCGGAGGCTCACCTTTCCCGGGACTCAGGCTCTGGTCTATGAAGACCTTCAGTTCTCCATTGGCTTCAATCAGACCGGCCTGCGGAGAGCAACAGCAGCAGTGAGCACAGTGGCCACCCGCGCACGGCCTACCCCAGGGGCCACCGGGACACCAGGGCCTCCAGCCTCAGGACCTGCCCTGGGCATCCGCAGGGTCTCTGGGACTCCGTGACTGTGAGGGCAGGGAAGGCCCCCTCCAGCAGAGGGCGTGGCCCAGCAGGAGGGGTCTTGCCAGCACCTCCCCTCCTCCTCCAGGAGACGGCCAGGCGGGGCCTGAGGCCTTGGGACAGGAGGCAGCCCCGGGTCCCCAGCTCCAGGAGTGCCAGGCACACACACCGGCAGGCTCAGTCTCACAGAAGAAACAGCCACAGATGGGGTCAGGGCCACACTCGGAGAGGGACACTGGCCACAGCCTATACTCAAAGCCTGGAGGGCCCTGGACCATGTCCTGGACCCTGGCCTCCACTTTCCCACAGACAGCAGGAGGGCAGGGCTTCCCCCGAGGACCAGGACCACGTGCAGGCTGGCGAGAAGGCCAGCAGAGAGGGAGGCCAGGGCAGGACAGGCTGATCACCCCTTAGAGCCAGGAGAGGCCCGACAGAGGCCTGGGGGAAGGCCACAGGCGGAGCTGGTGGCGGACAGCAGGGTGCCAGGGGTGAAGGCTCCGTCCGGCTGAGGTCACGGGTGAGGCCAGATGAGCAGGGCCACGGGGCGCAGAGGGCAGGCAAAGCAGGGAAGGCAGCGAGGCCCAGAGGTGAGCACACCAGGCAGGAGTGCCCATGGGCAGTGCCCAGGGGAAGGCAGGGGCCTGAAACCACCCGGTGTGGTCAGGAGGGCTGGCTGCGCAGGACAGCACCAGGAGTGCCAGGTCAGTGGAGGGCAGGGGCAGGTCTTGTCTGGACGACCACAGAAAAGGCAGAGGCAGGTGCAGAAGGTAAGGCCCAGGGCCAGGACAGCAGCTTAAGAGCCGGGCGTGAAACCCAGAGATGAGGCCGTGGAGGTGGCGGGCCAGGCAGCAGGGCTGGCCAGAGCCTCAGTCGGCACTGAAGCCGGGGACAGACGCTGGGTGGGCAGGACAGCACCAGGCCAGGTGGGCCACGCCTGGAGTGCAGCCCTGATCGGGCTTGGCCCACCACTGCTCCCGCCTCGTGGGGACTGGGCCTGATGAGGACAGACGGACTCCCCGATGCCACTGGGCTCCGTCGCCCCCCACGGTGCCCAGTCGCCCCCCACGGTGCCCAGCCCTCCCGGGTCCTAGAAGAGCGGCTCTGGCGCTGCTCTGCTCCTTCTGGGGCACCTCTCCCACGACTGAGGGACGGGGAGGCGCCCCCTCAGGCTGGAGGCAGAGCCCCCAGGGGCAGGGCTGCAGGGTGCACGCAGGACGCCCAGAGCCATGTTTCCTGCGTCCACCAGATCTGCTAGGCGAACACGCAGGTCGGCCTCCAGGCCACAGACACAGGGAGGTGCAGACACCACCCACTGTGCCCCACCCTCAGAAGCCAGCTCTGAGACACACCGCACAGGGGCCACGCAGGAGGGCAGCAGGCAGGGCCAGGCTCCCGGAAGCTCCCGGCTCGGCTTGGCCATCCCCAGCCAAGACAGGAGCAGAATATCCAGTGCCACCGCCTCAGGGGCCACCCCAGCACTGTGGGGAAGACGTCACGTGACCCTGGGCGGCCTACAAGGCTCCACAGCAGCTCTGGTGAGCTCACTGGCCAGGGTGGACAGCCCAGCCCTGGCCAGGGCCAGAGATGGAACGTGGGGGTCAGGCTCTCCACCTGAGCCTAAGTTCAGGGGTGACTGGGGCAGCAACTGAACTTCAAAGCAAGAAAGACAAAGCCAGACACCTGCCAGTCCTGCCACCCAGGCCTCCAGCTGCTGGGCAAACGGGCACCGTTTCACTCCCCAAACGAGTCCTCCAACGCACTCCAAGGACGCTCACCTGAAGGGCTGGCCGGCGCCTCAGCCTGCTGGCCCACCCCCAGGCCTCTGGCTGCAGACCGGACACTCCAGACCCCACGGTGCCCCTTCCTTCAGCCTTTGGCAGGGCCTCCCCCCCTCCACCTGCGTGGGTTTCCCAGGGCAGCAGAGACGGCCTGGGTGACTCAGGGGACTTCTGCTGTGGGGTGCTGGCCCGATCACGCCCAGCCTGGCGAAGCTGCCCTCGGGCCCAGGCTTGGCTTTTGGGCTGTGCTGCCTGGAATCAGAGCTGCCCAGAGGCAACAGGTAAAGCACACCTGGCCTCACGCCAGCCCGTTTCCAGGCCGGTCCCTGGGCCCTGGAAGCCTGGAAGCCCGGTTTGCAGCTGTGGAGGCTCCCGGTGCACACACACCACAGCTGCCCAGCAGGGCTGAAAGCGCACCCCTCCAAGGAGGAAATCGGGGACCAGACCAGCTGGGCTCCTGCGGCACTGTCTGGAGGGCTGCACACCGAGTCCCCCAGGAGCCGACACTGCAGAGCCGGTGACCTCCGGGGACAGGACTCAGCAGACCAGCTCTCTGCAGCTGGGCCGCAGCTGAGTGGCCACCTTCAGGAGGCTGCGCATCTGTCCTGAGCACTAACTCACAGGCGCCTCGTGATGGGATGGAGCCGGCCCCTCCCACATCAGGACACAGCAGGAAGGTGCTGCCTACAGCCAGGTGGTCCCTGCCACACCCCAACCAGTGATCTGTAGCCTCCAGAACGTGAGAAATAGTTTCTGTCCCTTATAAGCTACCAGGTGTGTTTGTCACAGTAGCCTGAGGAAACTGAGACAGACTGTCACCAGTGTGCACCCGGGCCATCCTCACCACACGGAGCCCTGTGGCAGGACACTTCTACAGCCAGCGCCCTGCCCTGCGGTTTTCTCTGGGAAGCCAGTGGCCAGTCTGCAAGGACACCTGAGCAGACCCTGCCCACGGCCAAGCAGGGTCCTCAGAAGCATCTCTAGGCCCAGCCACTGCAGATCTGCACAGCACCCCAATCTGGGGACAGGAGTCTCCTGTCACACCCTCCTACATCCTGACCCACGGCCACCAAGGTCAATAAAGGTGTCACCTTCACCAGTGAGTCCCCACCTGTGTGGGTCACTCAGAGCCGTTGTCTATGGAACCTTGGCTCCAGGAGGAGGCCGCGCCCGCTGGCCCAGCAGAGCCCAGCCCCCTCCACTCACCACCAACCAGAGGCCCTCAAGGGAGGTCGCTGCAGGGCAGTGGTGAGGTCAGCGGCACCCTGTTAGGAGCAGGACATCACCTGGCCTTCCCTGAAAAGAACCCTCGCTGCAGTCCAGCCGGCTCTAGCGTCCGACTCGGCACCACAACGGCTCCTGGGCCGGCCGAGACCTCGCGCAGCTTCTCACTGTGACTCCGCGTTAGAAAGGACCTCACAGCCAGGCAGGGGCCACCCCTGTCATCCCGGTGACTTGGGAGGCTGAGGTAGGAGCATCCCAAGTTCAAGCCAGCCTCAGCAACTCAGTGAGACCCTGTCTTAAAACAGAACGGCTGGGGCTGGGGCTCAGTGGCAGAGCACTGGCCCGACACGTGTGAGGCACAGGGTCTGTGCCTCCGCACCACATAAAACCACTTAAAAGGAAAGGCATCGTGCCCATCTGCAACAACAAAGGTAAGAACGAGGAGCCCCTCCCTGCCCACCCAGCCAGTCCTGGGACGTCCCCCTGGCCAGGGTGCAGGGCCGTGGAGACGAGGCACCAGCTCTGCTGCGAGTGGCCCAGCTCCAGCAAGGTCCAGCGCAGCCATGGGGACGCCCACTGCGGCGACCCAGGCTTCTTCCTGGGGGAAGCTTCGTCCACAAGGGAACACTGGAGCAAGGGCCTGCCGCTTAGCGGTCCTGCCTCCCAGGCCCACAACCAGGCCAGGAACAGGTGACCCTGCCCAGACCACCCTGCACCCCAGGGCAGCCCGGCCCACGCAGCCCATCAGCTGAAGCCTGGCACTGGAGTACAGGAGGGAGACCACGAGGGTCGGGCACCACAGGAGCAGGGAGGCTTCAGAGCATCAGACACCAGAGTCTGAGGACCACGCAACAGTGACAGAGGCCAGCCCCCAGCAGTCGCTGACCGACCATGACAACGCCCAGCCAGGCATGCACACAGCTCGGCACTCCGAGTGGACGCACACCGCCTGACGTCCAGCGTACCACCAGGACGCTCCACAACTCCAGGCTACCACCCAGCCTCAGGACCAGAAACCACCACCTCCACAGCCACCCTGCAGGGACCCGGCAGAGTCCAGCAGGGCAGAGTCCAGTGGCCCGCAGCAGCCCTGGAAACGCAGCATCTCCACATGAAAAGCCCACAGAGCCAGGGAGACTGTGTCACCAGGTGTGACGACGCAGATGGGAGACAGGCAAGAGGTTCAGAGGGGAAGTGACTGGGCCAGAAGGGCCTGGCCTAATCAGAGGGTTAACCCCACGGGGTGAGCTGGGAGGGGAGCCAGGGAGGGGGGCTGGCAGGAGGAGGTGTGCCTCGGGGGTGTGCCTCGGGGGCACAGGCGCTCTCTGCGCCCTGGCCTGATGCCCCCAGCTGCTCTCCTGCATCACACACTTCTGCCTGGACCTGCAGCTCCACCGCAGGCCTTGAGGAGCAGGGCCACCCGCCCACCCGTGGACGAGGAATGGGAGTGCCAGATGAACTTCCCTTCCTCTAACGGGTCTTGTCAGGTGTCTTGATCACGGCAGCCAAAAGTGGCTAAAACTGAAACTGGCACTGAGAGGAGGGGTCACTGCTTGGACGAACCTGACCATGAGGTTCAGAAGCTGTGGGGGCTTCTTGGAGTTTGTGGGAGTTACTTTGAAAACCTTAGTGATGCAAGCTGGAAAAGCTTGGATTGCTGCAGGTGGAACCTGACAGCGGTTCTGGTGGGAGCTCAGAGACCACAAGGCCAACAGGACTGTGGACAGTAAAGACTGGGCTCACAAGACTCCACAAGACTCTCCTGGAATTGGACCAGAGGCCCTCTGTGTCGCGTCCTGGCTAAGATGTCAACTGCATGTTTCTTCATGTCCTGAGACTTTCCATGAGGCTGAATTCAAAGGTGATGAACT